TAAATCTTATTGAGATCTTTAATAATGGATGATATTAATTACGACGAATTGGTAAATCAGCTTGAAATGTTTTTTAAGTGCAATAAAAATAGAGCGGAAGCTGAAAGACAGTATAGAGAAAAATACTCAAATAGAGTTCACCCGAATCGTTGAAAATTTAGTCGATTTGAAAAACCACTGAGACGAATAGATTCGCTTCTTAAAAATAAAAAAACCTGTGGTTCTTTGTGAAAAACAAGAAAATAGAAACCTGAATGTTCTGTTATCAGTCGAAGAAAATCCAAGAAAACTCGCTCATCAACTGGCAAATTATATTTGTCAAACCAACAATTTAACTGTATACAATAAGCATTTTTTTTTATTCACACCTTTCCTTTAAAATGAAAAATCGGGCTACGCGACCAATTTCCTTATAAAATTCTAGATTTAAGATGTTACTTGATAGCATTGTGTTACGCAAAATATAATAAATAATGGTTTACAGTATTTTTCATGTCAATTATTATTGTTTGGAGGAAAAAAACATAGGTGTTCCATATGAAAAACTAAATTTGGTAGCATTTCCGGCAACACCGGATGTGCTAAAAAAAATTGATACATTTATTAAGAAAGCCAAGAATTTACGTTTAACGTGGTAATTTCCATTAAAAGATAAAACAGACTTTGCTTTATTTAGTATTTTTTGTCTCTCAAAATATTTTCCTATTTTGTATCCCAAAACTTGCCTTCGTTACTTTTCTTTTTTGCTTTCACTCCTATTTTACAAACTGATCCAAATCAAATCAGTCACGACCTTTTGCAATAGCCCAATACATTTTTAACAATAATTTATTTTATTTCGTTCCTTAACACGTTAAGCGCCGCCGTACTAAAAAAAAGGTTCTTTTGGGCCCTGCCATTATTTACTCTGAAGTCACTTTAAATTGCATTAAATTATCGTAACAAATAAACAAAACATATCTAGATTTTATTTGGAGGATGTAATTTAACTGTATCCGTTAGGATACAGATGGCCGATAAGACAAAAGTAAATCTGTTCAAAGTCAAAACGTGCATTTATTTATTTATACTCAAGTATTGGCTGACCTCAGGTGATGCAGCATCGTTTTGTACATTATGTCTTATGAAGATGTTTTTTCCGACGAAGACGCATCGGATTCATTTAGTAGTTCAGAATATAAAGAAGAGTCTGAATCAGAGACTGAAGAATCAGATTTCTCCCCTCCGAGAAAAGTCAGAAAAACTTTTATTCTTGACAATTCAAAAAAACCTTCGACTTCACGTCAAGATAAAGAAATTTTTTCTCCAATTTCAAATCAACATAATACCCAAACTTTACCTGCTACCAATATTGACAATACGATAGAAGAAGTAATTTCTAACTTTAAAGATAGTGATAGTGAAAGCGATGATGAAGTTGACAATGAAAATCTTGTGTGGGGTCCAGTGGATATCAATAAACTAAAACAATTCGATTTTACTGAAGAAAATTCGGGTATTAATCCAGAAATTTTAGAAAATTACGCAACTAAGAACAACCTTTTGCCTAATGCACGTATAAAAAAATGGCATGATACAAATAGCAACGAAATGAAACAATTTATCGGTATTACCTTATGGATGGATCTTGTACGACTTCCACAGTTACGAGATTATTGGTCACAAAGGAACATATACACCAACAAAGTAAAAACAACTAACTATGTCTCGAAATCGATTTGAATTACTTGTTAGAACTTGGCATTTTTGCGACAATGCATCCGCACCTACTAATGACAGACTGTACAAAATTACGCTTTTGATAAAATCCTTAGTGAAAACATTTCAATATGCCGTTACGCCTACCGCAGAAATTTGTATAGACGAAACGTTGGTGCCATTTAGAGGAAAACTAAGCTACAGGCAGTATATACCTAGCAAACGGCACAAATTTGGAATAAAGCTTTATAAACTTTGTTTGTCAGGAGGTTACACATACAGGGTTATTCACGGGAGGGTTATTTCTGAAAAAAAAAAATTGCCGCAACCAACAATACCAATATCACTAACTGCTAAATTAAATATGTTATTTTTTTTAAATTACAAATCAAAGTAAGTTGGATAGATTTGCCAGAAATGTCAGATTGGCAGGTAACCTATATTTAATCAAAATTCAACAAATAAATTAACAAGTTAAGTTAATGTAAAAGATGTTTGAGGTGTCTACCATCGACTTCAAAACATGCGCCTAGTCGGTTGCTAAACGATAGCAAAACATGTCGCCTTGTTTGAGAGATGATTTTCTTGCTTTAATGTCAAAGAGATAAGACTAATAACAGCTATTGTGGATTCAGTTATAATTATTTTCAAAATTTGAAATCAAAAAATTCTTGCAATATGTATAACGGGTCGCGGCAAAAACAAATTCAGAAATAACCCTCTCGTGACTAACCCTGTACAATGTTGAAGTTTACTGTGGAAAAGACAAATCCGATAACCGAAATATTTCCGGAGCCACTAAAACTGTGTTGTCACTAATGCACAACTTATGTCATAAAGGTAGAATTCTTTACACAGATAATTTCTACACCAGTGTATCATTAGCACATGAACTTTTAAAGCGGCGTACACATCTGGTGGGAACGTTGCGTTCAAACCGAAAATATAAAACGAAAAATGTAACGCAAAAGAAGTTGAAAAAAGGAGAAGTATTTAGTGCGCAAAGCGATACAGATTGCATTCATTTGTATGGCAGATTCTTTTCTTTGTATTGAAGGAATTTTTGAATTAATAGCCCAACCCAATGAAATAGCAGGAGAATGCAAGTTAACAAATAATGCAGGTGTATATTTATTTGAATCAATATGTTATGAGTTTAATGGGAAAGAAATTGAGAAAGTGCGAGATCCTGGGACTTTATCATCAATTCGAGGATATATTTGTTATAACGAAGATGAATGTAAAGGTTTGGTGTTGGCAGGATGGAACCCATCTGGAAATTCTATACTAACAATGGATAATAATAATAAAAACTTTTGGTTTAGAATACCATTAAGTTTTTGTTTGGAATTTTTCGTGATTATAAACACGTCATGATTGGACGTCATAAGATAAGACTCGTTCGTAGTCGTAGTGATAACAACTGTTATGTGGTTACGAATGGAGATAAGAAAGCAGCTGTAAAAATTAAAAACATTAATTTAAAAGTAAAACATATTTTTCCAAATGATAAACTGAAACTTCAATTACTTCAACAGATGAAATCAGATAAATCCATAAGTATTGGTTTTCGTAAATGGGAATTGTTTGAATTACCTGCATTAAGTACAGGTACTAACAAAGAAGTTTGGAGTATTAAAACATCGACAAATATCGAAAGCCCTAGATATGTTATTTTGGCTTTCCAAACAGACATTAAAGATAATGAAAAAAAGGATAACTCAAAATTTAACCATATTAACTTGAGAAATTATCGTGTTTGGTTGGGTTCACAGATGTACCCACATGAAGCATATAATCTTAATTTTGAGCAAAATCAATATCTTGATGCATATCAAGCATATGTTGACCTTTCTAAAATCTTAAGCCAACATAATCTTTCTAATGTTATAAATAGTTATACAGTATTTGCAAGTAGAGCATTATTTATTACCGATTGTTCAAAACATGATGAGTTACTTAAATCATCAACAATCGACGTTAAAATTGAATTTGAAAGTAATGAAAATTTTCCCGAAAAAACTCGTGCTATTTGTATAATTGTTCAAGATAAAGTTATTGATTATACACCTTTAAGTGGACTTGTTAGAGAGATAATTTAAAAAAATAAACGTTTTATCTTTCTAACGACCATCGACATCCGTTTAAATAGGTTATCTCCAAAACAAACTCTGCATTATTATTATTATTTTTTTTATTACATATCTATTTTTACTTTATATTAGTTGTTCACTTGATTAATAAGTTATTTAGTTATGTGGATTACTCAAAAAAAAATCTTATTGTTAATGTAGGTAAATTATTATTTAGATATTAAACTATTATATAAAAGTTTCAAATTAGTGTAGTGAATAGTAGGAATATTTTTTTTATTAAATACAGTTACTAGTCTTCAATTCAAATTAGTCTGTATACATCCTCATACGCAAGAGGTTGTGTATTAATTAGGTGATTCTATAATTTTAACTATTAATTATGTTGTTTTTTAGATTATTCACATTTATTGTTTTATCGTTGAAGTGAATAGTCATACATTCATYTTTAAGTGCGATCAGTGTTGCAAAGAATTCACGCGAAAATACAGCTTAAATAGACATTTGCTTCATTCATGTAGTGGATTGTCTACAACTGAATTACACCCTGAAGTAGAAGCTATTAYTATAAAAAAAAGTACTCATAGTAAGGAATCACACACTGATCTTACTCTTTTAACAATTRCAAACGAAACGGAAGTTAAATTTGTTATCAGTATTGTTAGAAAAGTGTAAGGATCCGGATGATGGATGACAGATTACCAACGCCGTTTAATTTAAAATCTGCTGTACAAAGATTGCAACAATTATTAGAAGATGTTATTTTTGATATTAGTCACTCCTATGTATATACTGCTGATGATATCGGATTTGGAGAAGATTTACAGCAACGGTATCAGAAAGGAATCACCGCTTGTAAACGTTTTCTAACAAACAATATTGATATTAACACGTTATGCCAATTATTAGAAGAATGTGGAATSGATGGATTTATAGAAGAGTTGATACCATATCTACCACAAGAGTTGAAAGAGAAATTTGGTGTTAATAATACACAATATGATTTAAATGTAGTTTAAATTAAATAAATTATTAAATAAAAATATATGTATTATTTCTCAAATTGCGTTTTTATTGCAAGCGGAAATTACATCATCCTTTATAGATATACAAATTCCTTATCTATCACCAAAAAAAAATCCTCTGATTAGTTAAACCGCAAACTTTAGTATTACATTAGTCATTAGTTAGTCAGTCTGCTATCTAACGTCGTGCTAACAAGTCGTGTGTGCTTCGCGGTCTTTTATTTCAAAGATTTCAAAAAACTATGGAGCTTTCTCTGGATACCCTAAATAAAATTGCTGCTTGCGAGTATCCCCCTGAATATCAGTTTATACATCCTACTGATTTGGAAGTTGGTAAACCTTACAAAATCATCAATATTTCTCAATCGCATACGAAGAATGGATTATTGTCTGTCGCACATTTAGAAGGGATGGGTAAATTATTTTTACCACAACGTTTGACACCTATCCTTACTCAAGACATCATTAGTTCATTATTAGATGGGGAAGGAACTACATTAATTTATAAAGGTCTAAAAAACCTTTCTCCTAATGATTTTACCGCACATATTTATGATTTTAAACGTATTACTCCTAATGAAAGGAATAATAAGTAGGTATGTGTTTTTTCTTTATTGTAATATTTTTCTCAAAATTTTCTTTTTTTCAGATTAACTCAGATCTAACTTGAAGGACTTTCCATTTCTTTCAATTTTCTTTTAATTATAGTTCTACTATAATGTATTATTGAATATAATAATTGATTTTTTGAATGTAATACTAATACTACAATACCTAAGTTTTAAAAATAAATGTTTTATGTATATAAAATGTATTATTTTTTTTCCTGCATTCATACATGATTCATTCATAAGAAAAAAGAAATTCCCGCTATTTGAATTTATCGCTCATTGACCCATTTTATGAAATTTTTACCGCTATTTTTTGAAATTTTGTATTTTTCGAATTTTTCTCGCTACTTTTGAAATTTTTGAATTTGCCGCCATCTAGAAATTTTGCCGCCATTTTGTAAATTTGAATTTTCCGCCATTTTGATTTTTTTGCCGCCATTTTGAAAATTTGAATTTCCCACCATTTTTGAAAGTTTGTCACCATATTGAAAATTTGAATTTCCCGCCATTATACTTCTAATATTACTAGGCAACCAACATTACACACCTCATAGTCACGTGACATTGGTAGTGGGGGAAACGAATGACCTTGAACGCTAATTTGAACCTTCATAAGAAAATACATGGGATTTTGGGCTAGCACGCCCATAGCTTATCTACTTACAGCTCTAAAATGGAAGGAGAAACGGGTCGTTCTTGTACTTTCCACAAAACATGACACTTCCATGAAAACTGTGACAAGACGAGGAGAAAACATTGAAAAACCAGCAATTATTGTAGATTACAATAATTCAAAATCTTTTATCGACTTGTCCGACCAACTGAAGGCGTATGCAACTTGCTTGCGGAAAGGAGACAAGTGGTACCGAAAGTTGGCAGTAGAGCTTCTTACCGGAAGAAAATGTCTGTTATAAAGTTCAAGGAACTAGTAGTGGCAAAATTTTTAGGTGTGAGTGCTTCAAAGTCATTGAATCAAGTAGCAAATATTGACGACGTTCACGTATTAGAAGTTGTTTCGAAAAAACCCGGTGTTCACAGTGCTACGATAAACTTAGTAAGGAAAAAGACTGGCGTTACGCTCAATCGAAAGCTTCACAAACACACCATAAATTCTTCTTCTTGGATCTTCTTGGTATGGAAACGATGAACAAAAACACGAAACACGAATCGTGTTTTTGTACACCATAAATGTCAAATATGTGAAAAATCTTACTGCCTGAAATGTTTCTTTGAATTGCTTTAATCTGTTTTGAAATAAGTTTTTTACCACATATTTTTAGTTGCGTTTCATTTCAAATATTATGTGTTTACGTTAAATAAACAATGGAACAAAACTTTTTAATTTTTATCCACGTACAAGAAAAAAAAATTGCGGGCCACCAACACTTTTCGTATCACTGGGCCACCCGTAAACAGTTTTCCATGCAACATATACGTGTGCGTGTAGCTGGACGAATCCAGTCGGCTTCGAACGAATGTGTATGTTGTTGTATCCGCTCGGATACAGGTGGCGAAATGTTGCAACACTGCTTGTACAGTGCGATCAAAAAGTATTTTTGTCAAGTAGGCGTCCTAGTTGAGGACGTATGTTGCATGGCAGTTCGTATGTTATCTAGATGTCAAAAAATTATTTTATTAAAATAAAAACATTGAGCTAATTAAATTGAATTATTCTATAAAACGTCTCAAAACAAACTAAAATAAGATTTTGTTGATGTTTATTCATAAAAATCGTTCACCACGGTTTCCTGTCATAATTTAGATAAAAATTATTTTGACATTTCTCATTTGTCTTTGTAACATTTTATCTTCCACAAACATACATTTTAAATTTCTACGCTTGCTTGATAGACAGACTTTTTGATCGCACTGTATCTTCGCGGATACTTAATAAATAATTAATAAATAATTTCTGATACCATCTTTTCTCTTTCCTGGCAAGATAGCTCTAAACCTCCTCGTACTTCTTGCTGGGTAAATTAATTTTTTGTAATACATATAACACAATAACGATAAACATAATATGTGTCTCACCACAAATACCTAGAATCGTTTTTAACATAAAATTAATTTGGCTAATTAGAGCTGTCCGTAAAGACCAACCTATATTTATATAATAATTCATAAGCACAAACCGTCCTCAGTGAAATTAATATAAACATTATGTTTTATTTTTTTTATTTTTTAGGTTTACGTAGTGGGCTTAGTGCCTTTATACAAGGTGATTCACGAGGAATAATGAGCCTGACCAAATTCTCGATGCAACCACCATTACTCTTCGCAAGTTATTTTGCGACAACTATAATGTTGGTTGCATCGAAAATTTGGTCAGGCTCATTATTCCTCGTGAATCACACTGTATAAAACCTATCTATTTTTTTAATTTATTTAATGAACGAACAATTCTCTTCTTGAGGGGTGCAGATCCATATCTTTGCATTGAACAAACGCAATAAAACGATCATGTTGTGGGTTACACCCTGCGGTGCAGCTCGGCTGGCTGTAAATCTTATTCTAGGTTGTACCTCGGATCTTGAAAATAGATGTGTTAAAAGTTGCCTACTTTCAATTTAATTTTGTCTTTATATCAAAGAATCATGAACAGTTATTAAATTCGAATTATAACAGGGAACTGTATTTTTAAATTACCTATAAAATATTTTTTTTTATTCAATACGGTAAACCGTTATCAAAAAAAATTAATAATTAAGATTTTCACATTTTATTCAATAGAAAAATATCTATTAATTTATTTAAAGCGGGAATATTATCCTGGTCTCTATTTACCTTTAAAGAAACATTACAAACATCAAGAAACTCTTCAAGTCTAAATTTGCGGCTAAAAACCTGTGAAATAAATGTACATTTATTATAATAGGTATACGCCAGCTTTCATGGGGTCTGGAGCCTTAACGCAGGGGTATCTGAGAATGTATTTTGGATTGTGTCTAAAAATTGGTTAGGGTCTTTATTACACAGGGTTATTCACGAGAGGATTATTTCAGAATTTTTTTGCCGCGACCCGTTAGACATATTGCAAGAATTTCTTGATTTCAAATTTTAAAATAATTATAACTGAATCCACAATAGCTGTTATTAGTCTTATCTCTTTGACATTAAAGCAAGAAAATCATCTCTCAAACAAGGCGACATGTTTTGTTATCGTTTACCAACCGACTAGGTGAATGTTTAGAAGCCGCTGGTAGACACTTCAAACACCTTTTACATTAACTTAACTTGTTAATTTATTTGTTGAATTTTAATTAAATATAGGTTATCGTCAATCTGACGTTTCTGGCAAATCTATCCAACTGATTTTGATTTCTAATATAAAAGAAATAACATATTTAATTTAGCAGTTAGTGATATTGTTATTGTTGGTAGCGGCAAAAAAAATTCAGAAATAACCCTCTCGTGAATAACTCTGTAGATGACTCACCCTGTACTCCGTAACATATACAAAAAAATTACATTAATATAATATCCTCAACTAATGTTTTTGAAGTAAAATGAAAAGTATTTTCAATATTTCAAATATTTATAATTATATAAATATTACTATTAAAATTCATCGCTGATATAATAAAGCGTAGTACAAAGTGTCCGTAAATGTGACATGTGACAGTGACAAATTTCAGATTTACTGCATTTTTTAATTGACTGCTTTTATTGCAGCTCTAGATTGAGAACAAAAACTACACCGTGACAAGAAGAACAAATAAGCACCTCGCAAAATTCTATTTTATTAAAATCCTAACAATTTTAGTGTCTACTTAGCCTATTATTAACACTGATTATCACAAAAAGGTTAACACGAGTAATCAGGTTCAAATCATATTGGATTCGCCACTTTTCTTTTATTCACAAAATGTTCTCTTCCACACTATTCAAATGTAATTACGAAGTGATGGTCAAATGGGTGCTCATTAAGAAACGGTGCGTTATCAGTAGTTAACCTGTTTAACTTCTTACATCCTCTCCAAATGTAAATGAAAATCATTTGGGCCCTAAACAACACTTTGTGATTGATTACATACCAAATTTGATTCATTAAATATCTTTTTTAAACAGCGGGTTCCCGCTCCACGCACACCATCCACCTAATTCCAAAAACTAAAAATTTTTGCTTTCTTTTACAACACGCTTTCACTTAAGTATCCCTTTTCACCTGGGACCGTTTATTATAGTTTTTCCACCGTTTTATTTTCTAAGAGATACAATTTTGAAACCTATAATTGTCACATGACAAATATATTTTGTGTTATCAGTATTCAGCATCATATAAAACGGCACATTCAGAGGTTGACATAATTTCAAAGCCAACTTGATCATTCAATCATTTACGGACACTTTGTATTTTATATATTTCATGTTACGTTCTTGTTTACGGATACGATACATACCAGATACCTCCAAAATCGCGGTCATAGGAAAGTACGTGGATATATAAAAATAACATACAAATAATATATCCGTCAATGTCTATATTTTTCTACTTACTAAAACCTGATAGCTTCAACTCTCTCAACCCGTGTTCGATTTTAATTTAATTTAACCATCTTTCTCGAACAAGGGGGTAAAGGGAGATCTCGGAGCAATATATAGAACTAATGCATAATTTGGTCACTTGGGCGTTGTTATGGACAACACTTCATATCATTCCGTAACAATTTATAAACCAGTCAATTCTAACTCGTCAAAAGCCGACATACAAAGCTGGCTAGAAGCGCGCAATATCTGCTTTAATGCTGGAAAAATGACTGGAAAACCCAAATTGAAACCTTGGAAAAATATTCTATTAAATTTCATAAATACACTTTTAGAGATTATAAAAATATTGTAAAAATAACCACCAATTATTTGGAAATTAAAACTAAGGGAGAAATTCCAAATGATCTACTAAAAGCTTTCTCGCGAAACTGTATATTCATACGCATAAAATTTTTAAATTTTAAGAGAAGTAAAGTTTTCTTATAAACAGAGAAAGCGAAAACCACCTATTATTGATGTTTGATTAACAACAAAATTGAAAAAGATTGTAAATTAAAATATTGTTTTAGCAAAATAAATTTATATTTGTTATCTATGTATATGTTTTATTTATTTTACCCTTAATAATAGTTATTTAGTCGACGAGTTTGGACGCTTTCACGAGTGGTTTATCATCCAAGAGATGGAATAAAGCGTC